GTGTGTGTGTGTGTGTGTGTGTGTGTGTGTGTGTGTGTGTGTGTGTGTGTGTATGTATGTATGTAAAATTACAGGTGCATTTCTATCCTGTGACAATGTTTCCCTTTGTGGCACAGAGGGTAATACTTATGTTGACATAGTAGACTATCAGGAAATCGACAGTCATGAAATTATAATCAGAAAAATGAATGAAGTTAGAATAGAAAATATCTATGGTTAAACAAGAGCATCAGGAAAACAATAATATCAAGAAAAATCTGTTGTATATATTGTTTGCATTATTAAAAATGTATCCTTACAGATATACAGATGTGTTTAGAAACATCAAAATAATCACAAGGAGGACATATCCTCAAAGTGGGTGTGTGCTTGTGTCTATGACCACAAGAAAGCAACGAGAAAATATGCCTCATTCTCTACCTTAAGTGGACTTCAGTAAAGATGAGAGTTTTAATTCATAGAAGTCGTAAGGTGCTTTGGCTTATGTAAATGATGTTATTATTGATGAGAGTGCTTAGAAATTCCTATTATCTTTGCTTAGGTCACTTAAAATTTCTTAATCTCTCAAGATAAACATACTAGAATAACTAAAGTTAATTGGATAAAGTTCTTCATAAAAAGTGTAAAAAATCAGTAATTAATAAAAAAACAACCATGTTTTTCTTTTTGCACTTGCATTTTACTGAACTGAAATGTAAATGATAATTAAACCATGTTTGCCATATAAATTTGGTGAATCTTATCCATTGTCATAATGGGATATTTTAGAATATTGATAAAGAAGAGACCAGAGCCCTTGATTTTACAATATGATTCTCCTCATCTTCTGTGGCTCTTCAGACATGGAGTTATATATTTTTGTGCCTCAGTTTGCTGATCTCTTGAAATGATTATCCTAAGTCTGATAAGTCAGATATCATGATGTTTCCAGTAATAACACTAACTAATAACACCATTATTTAGACCTGGTTAATTGTGCTGAAACCATGACAGATTTTATATAGATTAATTATGGTAAAATCATCAAAATACTGTTATTTTATTGCATTTTTAAAAAGTGGATTATTATAATCACCATTGTATAGTAGAATAGATAGGAAGATAGATGCATTTCCTGTAAATCGTTTTACATTATATGCTTTTCATCCATTTTAAGTTCTTTTTTTTATTTGAAAGTAGATTGTTCTCTCATATAGTACACTCCACAGATTCTCTCCCTCCACTCCTCCCAACTCCTCCCTACTTCCCCTCCCCCCCTTCACTTCCTCTCCCTCTGGTTTTTGTGTTTTTTTGTTTGTTTGTTTGTTTGTTTGTTTGTTTGTTTCCGGAAAGGAACAGGCCTCCCAAAGACAACAAACACAACAAAGCAAGACACAATAAGACAAGGCAAAAGTCCTCACATCAAGACTGGACAAGGCAACCAATTGTGAGGAAAAGAGTCCCAAGAGCAGGCGCAGAGACTTGCTCCCCCTCGGGGGTTTCCACAAACACATCAAGCTAACAGCCATAACAGACACGCAGAGGTCTTGTTCAGACATTTGCAAGCCTGGTGCTTGCTGCTTGGCCCATAAGCCCAGCTTATACCAGTTCATTGAGCCATGTTACCCTGGTTTCCTCCCTTCCCACTGACTCCTCCGATCTTTCCTCCTATCTTCTGTGGGGTTCCCCAGGCTTCAGGGGGAGAGACATGATGGAGACCTCCAATCCAGAATCCATCTGCACTAGCGTCTGACTATGCGTCTCTGTGCCCACTCCCATCTGCTGTTGGAAGAAGTCTCTGTGATGATGACTGGGCAAGGCACTAACCTATGAGTATAGCAGAATATCACTGGGAACCATTTCATTGACTTTTTTTCAGAAAGCCAGTTTTATGTCTAAGACTGTCATAAACTCTGTCACCTGCATACTCACACCAGATTGCCTATACAGCCAGCAAACAGTCTGGCCACCATCAGACCATGCCAGAGAGGTCCTTGCTTCCAGAAGCATGGAGGGCTCTATCTGGAGTAACTGCTAGATAGACCAGATTGTGTTCAGATGATCAATGTAGGCAATGTTGTTTGTCTTCACTTTGCAGTTAACCAAATTCTATACCTTGACCAACCTGTCCCGTCCACAGGAGACAATGATGGGGTTGTTGCTGTTCAGGGAGAAGCATGCACAGACACCCATTCTGATGGCTCTCATCCTGGACCGTGTGCTTGCAGACTCTAGAGTATTTTATAACTTTATGGTCTCGTCTCAAGGTCCAGAGACAAGCTACTGGTTCTTGGAGGAAACGGCTATGCTCAGCACATCCTTGGCATGACCTACAAATCATCTTGTGGTGGTGTCTGTTGTGAGATCTCAGAGGCCCAGTGTTCCACCCCAGGAGCCTGAGAGGGCAAACTGGCCACCAGAGGCGATATTAACGTCTTTGACAAAGCGGGAGTGACCTTGCAGAACATGCTGTGGTATGCTATAGTTGGTCTGATCCCTTGGTCAGCTTCCACATTGCGATGGTCTTGTCTCAGACAGTATCACGTTAGAGAACGGCAGAATGGTGGTGATACAGGCTATCCGGCCCTTAGCACCCTTGAGGGTCCCATAAAGGGTCATCTGTTTGGTCATGCCTGCAGAGGGCAAGAGTATCACTGATAACTCAAAGGAAGGGAGCCACGCCATTGGGTTGCTGTGGAGTTATCCAGTTTCCAGTTCCTGGCCATCCAGGCTTGTGGTGTGGGCCTCAAGTTAAACCAGACAGTGATTGGCCACTCCCACAGGTTCTGAACCACCACTGCCCCAGAACATCTTCCAGGCAGGGCAGATTGTAGGTCCAGGGTTTCGTGGCTGAGTGGGTGTCCAGGCTTCTTTTTCTGTAAACCTACAGAGTAACTTCCATGCCAAAGAGACTAGACCTTAGGGGTGAAGGCTCCGTGTAGGCACCAGCTCTACCTCTTCTTATTCAATGAGTTGTGTGGATGTTGTTCTTGGTAATACCCCACCATTGCCCATTCTCAGAGAGTGACCCTCTGTCCTAGCATCAGCCTGGCCTGTTTAGGGATCTCCACAGGGCCCCATCATGGATGCAACTGGAAAAAAAAATCATTGTGAATGAGGTGGCCCAGATCCAGAAAGACAAAATGGTATATATTTACTTATAAATTGATATTAGCTGTTAAGTAAAAGAAAATCGAGCTGTAATCCACTGACACACTGAGGTTAGGTTAAAAGGAGGACCCCTGGGGATCTCCCTGAGAATGGAAAATAGAATATATTTTGCATTGGGGCCAGGGGTGGGTGGGTTAGGGGAAAGGAGGGATCAGATTGTGGGGAAAAGGCAGATTGTGGGTGAAGGCTCCGTGTAGGCACCAGATCTACCTCTTCTTATTCAATGAGTTGTGTGGATGATGTTCCATGCCAAAGACACTATGGAAATTGGCAAGACAAAAACAAGGTAAGGCAGATTCTGGGACACTCTCATACCTCTGTAGGGCATTTGAACTTTATCTTATAGACTGTGATTTAAACAAGACAAATGTAATGGCTCCTAAATTGCTTATTAAAAACGAGTTCTTAGTGCTGTGAAAGCTGGCACTATTGGCCATTGGAATTACTCCTTAAGACAATTGCCAATTGTTTCCTAGCACAATAAAAGCATGTTTTGTGGGTAACAGAATAACTTTGGCATGCATACATATCTGCTCACATCTAATCCTTTTTAGATAGTCAACTAACGCCATAAAAATGTTCACTGCACTAAAGTTACATGTGTTTAATCTCAATGCAACATAATAGCAATGAGCAAACATTTTGTGTTAAGTGGCAGATAATAAGTATTTAAAGCTTTGGGGATCATATTGTCCCAGTAATGAACCAACTGTGTTGTCACAGCAGCGAGGCAGTTATGGCCATGCAGAAGCAAACATGTGGCAATAAAACAATGCCAACCCCCTGGGAGGCTATCTCTGTCTTTAGCGTCACTGTTTCTGAACCCATCTCCTCCACTCAAGCAAGAAATCTTTCAATGTAGTAGCTTGAAAGGTAAGTTATCTTTTTGTGTATATAAATCCCAGGTGAGAGATGGAGTTTGCAGAAATGTGGACCCAAACTGAGAGTGTTCTGACCTTTGGGATCTTCAATAAATGCTTCAGCATCCAGGCAGTGAAGATTGGACGGATCCTGAACCGACACGGGAGCAGCTCGAATCTTGTGCTCACATTCTGTTTTTTGAGACACAGTTGTGGGGCTCCACAGACTGCTAAGTGAGGTTCAGGAACAAGAGAAATTGATACCGGAGTGAAGGATGGTGGGGAATCTAATTTAATCAGACACTGAATCACATCTCAAGGTGATTTTAGGGAATTTGTACTTAGGAGTTAGTGCAGAGTAGCTTAGCGGTTTCCTCTAATGCTGGAGTTACTCATTTCTTCCTCACAATTTTCAAATTATCTTTCTCTATACATATACTGAGTTTCTGAGTGGGTTGAGTGTATTTAGAAACATACACATAATATATATAAAAC